GTATTTGAATATTCATTAAATATTTAATAAATTTATTAGAATATTAATTCAATATTAAAAAAAGTTAGATTAATAATATTAGATAGTTTATTCATTAGAGGGCTTCCAAAAATCAGCTAATTTAAGAAGAGTAGGGGTCAGCTGGGATGTTAGATATAATTCCAGCCAGAATTAACAAGTTCTGACCAAAATTATAAAAATTTTTAGCCCAAAATTATATATTTATTAATAAAGTTCTACTGAACCAAATTGAATGATTTAACTACAAAAATAATCCTCTCTTTGAGAGGAATATTTTGCTAGTTAAATTATCCAAATTGATTTAGTATAACAAAAGTTATTTATTATTAAATTTTAAAATTTAATAATAAATAACTTTTGTTATACTAAACCAATTTGGATAATTTAACTACCAAAATGATCCTCTTAAAGAGAGGATTCTAACAAGTCTAAAATTATAAAAATTAAATTACTAGATCCCGAGATCTATCTAGATTTGTATACTATTATACTGTATAAATATTATATATTACTATAGTATAGAATATATAATAATATACAAATATAGATCAATCTCAAGATCTAGTAATTAGATTTTTATAATTTTAGGTTTGTTAGAATCTTCTATTTGAGAGGATTATTTTGGTAGTTAAATTATTCAATTTGGCCTAGTAGAACAAAAGTTATTTATTATTAAATTATATATATATATTATATAAAATTAAATATAAATACTGAAATTTGATTGGCTAATTGGATGTCAGGTGGGAAGAGAGTTTGACCTCAGAAAATTTATTAGTAAAAATAAATAAGCTAATTTCTGGAAACCCTCTAATGCTATTTTTTCTAAAGTTTAAAATAAGCAAGAAACTTTTGTTTATATGATGCTAGAGCCATTGTATATTTCTTTAATACAATACAAACTTTTTTTTACCACTCTACTTAGCTTTTCTTTACTATTGTACATACTTTTAATTAACTACACTAGATTAATCTTGCTTTCTAGTATCTTGTTAAACAAGCAATTAAAAACTTAATATTCTACCACTTCTCTCTAAATTGCTTTAATACTTATTGGAATTTCCTTAATACTGCTTAGTTTAATGTTTACAGCTCCTTATAAGAACTTTTTATAGTGTTCATTAATGGCTTTGGCTATACTTTCACTCTTAAATAGCTTTTATTTATTATTGTTATTCTATACCAAATGATTGTTGGGAAGAGCTCTATACTCAAGGTATTAATTATAAAAAAAAATAAATTTTAATTATTAAATTGTTAAAAATTGTTTTTAATTTAATAATTTATTTTTTAATTTTTAGTTGTTAAAAATTCATAATTACTAGATTAACAGCAGATTAGTTTTTTTTACATAATACTTCAAAAATTAGATTTTTTTTTTTTATAAATTTGGCAATTTTGCCAATATTTTATTAGGTATGACCATTTAAACTTACAGATAAAAATGCAATTTTGACTAAAGTTATCTAAAGCCCTTCTAATTTACAAATATTGACTAATTCAGCTCTTTATAACACCAAAGTGCCCAAATTACCTATGTTCAATCTGCTATAGTAAAGTTTATCTTAATATCAAAAAACTCTGCAAGTGAGTTCTTCAATACATCACTGAATAGTATTTATAGTCTATCAAGATTGCCTTCTTTCCTAATCTTCTTCTCTTAACTTCCTGAGCAGAAGAATTCATATTCTTCAACTGACTTATAAAAAAAAAAAAAAACTAATACTAAAAAAATAAAGAGAACAGAATAAAAAGGGGAAATGAAAAAAATGCCTAAGCAACAAGAAAATGAGAAAAAAACAAAAAAATAAAAGAAGAAAAAGGCAGGAAAAAAAAATCTATAAAAACACTATTATAGCCTGTGCCAAATACAGTTATAAAAATTATATATCTAATTAAATTTAAACAAAACTAATTTTTAAATTTAAAAATCTTATATATCTCTATTGTAAAGCTATACTTTATTATAAATTTTTTTTCTAATTTTAGTATCCGATCTAGGCCATTTCATTAACCAGAGCACTGATTAATTCGTCACATGGTGTAGGTTATTGTTGTCAAAGCAGTCTCATATTTATAACCTACTTTGTCTGAATATAAAATAAGTATCCTGTCTGAATTTGGAAAGTAAACAATGCCAATCTTTTGGAGGGGGTAAGCCAAATCTCTACTTTTTGTTAAAATTTTTTGAAAGACCAAAGAGAGAGCAAGTAGAAGTAAAAGAGAAACCACTTGGCCAAGTAAAAGAGTGCAGTTTGAGAAAAAACAGAGTCTTATTGTTTCCCTATATTCTTCCTCTAGAAGTAACAGCCTAAGTAATTTCGTTGACGGACAGACTTTTGTCTTTTCACCAAATTTTGTATTCAAGAATGCACACCTCCAGCCAGTTATTTTGTATACTAATGCTTTTGGCTTGCATGTTGAATATACAACTTGTAAAGAAGTTCTGGAAGAGTAATACTGTTAATCTCTAAGCAAACTGCTATATTAGGCTATGACTTTTCAACAAAAGCTCTGTTTTCCTTCAGTAAGACTTTTTGGTCCAAATGATTATCAAGAAGAGTTCTGGTTCAAAAATTAGATTATAATATAAAAATATTAAATATAGTAGTTAATTTTAAAAATTAGCTGGTGACCAATACAAAAAACAACTCTCTAGTGGTATTATCTTTAACATCATTAACATTCCATGATCTATTTACTACACTAAATATCAACAATGATCAACTTTTTGACTCATCATACTCATCATATGAAGTATTATTAGAAGATTACTATAATAGTGATGATTACTATGTACTAAACTACTCTTTCAATGAAACAATTACTTAAATAACATAACAGCTTAAAACTATAGACCTCTTTACATGTTACAATAAATTCATCTTTTATAATAAACTATTTTCACTCCAACACCTACAAACAATTCACATCTTCCTACATTACATTTCTAATGAATTTTCTTCATATAATTTATACAGTATATATATTAATAAATTAAATGATCTGGTTTTAACAGACCCCTTGATTTAATGTAGTTTTACTTATTAACTAGATGGGATATGTTCAACTCATTAACAATTACTTCTTAGCACCACATTTTACCAACAATTACTTGTTATCAAGTTTATTTCACTAACAGTTTATTTCACTAAAGCCCATTTACAGAAATGTAATTCTGGTCAATATTATTAGAATTAGGTTAGAATTAGAGTTAAAGTTAGTGTAATTTATAAAAAAAACTTGTTAGCAAAATAAGCTTTAGTAAAATAAACTGTTAGTAAAATGAACTTGTTAATAAATAATCATTAGTGAAATGTAGTATCTATGAAATAATTGTTAGTAAAATAATTCAGACCCAACTAGATATAGAGACACATTATTTGGAGATATGCTGGAGCATTATTTTGAAACCATAGATGCTATTTTTAGAGGGCATGATTTTCTAAATAATGCTCTGGCCTGTTATTTCGCGACAATATAGCACATTTGTACTTTAATATTTTTAATCACATCAAATCACAGAATTAACTAAAATTTCCACAAAATTATGCAAAAATTAACTTCTTTATCACAGAATTTTACAGAATAAATTAAAAAAATAGTACATAAAATCACAGTATTTTTCTTAATCGAAAACAAAATTTGGTCTTAACTATAAGACCTCAAACAATATATAGTGGTTATATTAGCTTTAATATAAACTTTTAAAATTTTTATCTACTTTTTATTAGAGCTAATTAACCATATTTTATATATAAGCTTTAATATTTAACAAAATTTAACCAATTATCAAATATAACAATTTTTTTCATAAAAGATTCTCAAAAAAAAATTTTTCTTTAAAAATTTTTCTAAATAAAAAATTGGATATTATATAGTATAGAATAGGTGGGCAGATTCTGCAAACTCTGCAACTCTGCTAAATATTTATTAATGATTACTAATTAGTAGCAAAGTTTATTTTTTATATTGACTATCTATTCTATAAAACATCCAAAAAATTTTTATTTTTTTATTTTTTTTTTTAACTTCAACAATTTTGTTATTAACTTTATTATTATATTTAACTGAACAGTACATATATATTACATATATTAACCTATCTAACTAAATAGTCGTTATAACCTCACCCGGCTACCCTATATAGTGCTCAGATGCAACTGTCTGCACTATCACACATATGAGATGAACTACTTTGAGAACCTCAGAACCTTAATATTTTTACTAATTCATATATACCCCACTATATATACTACTATGCAACATCTACTAGTTATAATTTACCTCTTATCACTTATCACATTACTTCTAATTTGTTTCTTGTATAATTTTCAAATTGGTGTTCTAGAAGTGGGCATTCTTCTTGCTTCTAGTTTGGTGTCTCTAGAGATGTTACTTTAGATTCTAATCCATATCTTAAACCAGGTGCTGCCGCTGTCTGAAGACTCATATTTCAAACCACCTGCTGCTGTCATTAGAAGAGCTGTCCATATGGTTCCAGGTATTCACATCATACACCACTTAATTAGGCTACCACTCCTTTATAGTACTCCCTATCAGTTTGGTGATACAGAAGTCTAGATCCTTAGGATGGGAGTTAAGTACTTCATTTAATTACTTCATAAGCATGTAATAATGCACATGGCCGTTATTTCGAAATTTTGATTTTTTTAAAAATGGCATATTTGACTCAAAATAATACTTATGTGCATCTCGAAATAATGCACCCCTATATGTATCAGATTTTTTTCACAATAAATTTAAGTTTAGATTAAACTCTAAACCCGATATTATCAACATTATATTGTTTTAATGTATGTACATATTTCAATTTCTTGTATTACTCTTATTCACTACAGCTTGTTTTAAATATAATTGTAGAATCGTAGGCAATTTAATCAGATTTAAACTAAATCACAAAGTATATCTCTAATAATTTCTATATATATATGATCAAATAAAAAATTGTACAACTTTTACTCTCTTTTATCAATCAGTTTAATTTTAGAAGTCATAAAGACAAGAGACTATTTTAATAATTTTATTGCAAGGAAAGAAATAATTGGATTAGCATACGTACTTCTAATTACTTTTAATTTTTAAGTTATAAACTCTATAAGTACTTTATTTCGAAAGCACTTAGATATTTGTAAATTCGATATTTAACATATTGTTACTTTTATAGACAAACGGCTATTGACCTTCAACTCAAGAAAATAAGATAGGTTATATTTATTTGTATAACAAATATATGAATTTTATATGATAATACGTATAAAGCTAATTTAAAAAGTAGGAAAAAACCTAAAAAAAAATAAAGAAAAGTTAAAGCGTATATAGTAATAATATTTTTGGACTGTATAGTATTGGTAAAAATAAATTTTCTACTCATATAATTCTAAATATTATCAGCCTTTGTGAAATTGATATATAAATTGGAAATTAATAATCACTCATTTCTCACTTAATCATCATTATCAGTAGTAACTTGATAACCATATTCGTCAAATTCAACATATTGGTCAAATTCATCAAATTCACCAAGTTTAGCAGGTTCATCATAAATTTCGGCAGGTTCTTCATTACTAGATTCATCACTATTATCACTAGCTTTTCATTAAATTTATTAATGTTAAGCAATTCATTACTAGCTTCTCCACTAATATAATAAATAAAATCTTTATCATCACTAAATTCTTCATTTTCATCATCACTAATTTCATCATCAGATTCAAGATTTGCTGTTAATTCCTCTTTACTTGACGGTTCTTCTAAAATTACATCATATATACGATTTTCAACAATTGCCTGAAGTCGACTTGACATTTTGTTATTTTCACTTCCATCAGGATTTAATGTAAGTCCAGATGCCTCGAATGACTTAATAAGAAGCTCATGACTAATTTGTTTTTACGTTTCAGAAATCCACTTACAGACTAGTTCGTATAAAACTTTTTTATATTTTCCACTTTTTGTAAACTCTTTTTCACCTTCACTCATCCATTCATCCTACTTACTTCTCATTTTACTTTTAAATGGTTTGTTGACTAAGACATCAGATGGCTGTAATACGCAAGTTGTTCTACTAGGAATTCTGATAACTTCTAAACCTTCAATATTTAGAGCTTTAGTTACATTACCACGTATATGACTTCCATGACAATCAACAAACAGTATGCCTTTTTTTAAAAAAAACCTATTTGGTCTTTCTTGAATTACTTTTGGAATATATGTAGATAACATTAAATCACTATGTATAGTTCCTTTAGATGCAGAAGCTACAACAATATCTCTTGGAAACTTTCTTTTAGGCACTTTTTTTAATTTGAAGATTACTATAGGTGGAAGTTTATATCCTGAAGCAGTAAAACCTAAGACAACAGTAAACTGCAACTTTTCATATCCTGTGGTTCTAATTGGAACAGTGCGTACACCCCAAAAATTTATTGTTGAGTTGCGTGGCATATCAAACCAGAGTCTCATCAAATGAAATTATATATTGTTTTTCAAAATTTTTAGTAGCTTCACGTGAAATTTTAAGAAAATTGCTAACAATATCAGGTGTATCTTCAGGAAATTTTTAAGCTACTTGAGTTTGACAATGTTGTACTAAATTATTTCTTCTTTTAAACCATTTAATCCAACCACGTGAGGCTTTAATATCTCCAAGTTCTTGAGATTTAGCTATTTCTTTTGCCTTATTTTCGATCATACTAGTTGTAACAGAAAGCCCTTCTCCATGTTTTTCTTGAACATATTTTAGTAATTCCTGCTCTAAAGATGGATACAATGGCTTATGACCACGACTCTCTAGTACTCTTACTTTTCTAAAATTCAAATCCTGATTTTTTTTAACTGCTTCAAATTCTGACTTTTGTGCTATTTATTCTTGAACACGCCTTCGATCTACTTTATAAAATTTTACAGCTTTACAAATTGATGAACCTTCTGCATAGGCAATTACATCAAGTTTGAATGAAATAGAGTAGCTTCATTTTTTGTCATCTATAATGTTAGCAAAGCAAAAGGATAAATGGTAATTTAGAGTGCAAGTAAAATCTTGTATAGACTTTTTACATGCAATTAACTTTAAACATCTAAAAAAGTGCTTGGTATTTATTTAATTATATTAATAAGCTTATACTGGTAAGTTTATTATTCAACCTTTCTTTTAATTAACATTCATGGACAAGTATCATTAAAATTTTTTTTTTTAAAAAAAAAATTATTGACCTTCCATGTTTAATATAAATCTAGTTTTTTAGACAATATTATTGTGATTACAAGTAATAAAACTATATGCAATTTATAAATTGCTTATGTATAATGAATACTATCTTTAAAACATGGCTGAACACACTATTCTAAATTCTAAGTGAAGTAATCAATTAAATAACAATCATAATGCATTAAATGAATTAATCATAAAACTGAAACTATTATATATTCTTTACATGAAACAGGTTTTTAAACTTCTCGACATAAATATTTTTTACATGCAAAGTTAAGTAGATTCTTTATCATGTGTTTTTTTATACGTATTAACTTCTATTAGTATTAGTGATTTCCATTTTTACTAAATTCATAGACATGACTAAATCATATGTTAAAATTGTCTATTATATAAAAGAATATATTAATTTCAGAAGTCTTGTTTTACTGGTATAGCTGGTTATAAAGTGATACAAACATATGGGTTTTTGCCTTGAAAATGACCTTACAGTATCATATACCGTAAGGTCATTTTCAAGGCAAAGACCCCATATGTTTACTTCAGCTATAATATTGATTGAATACACTGTTCTTTCATTCCAATATTCTATGAATAATAATAATTGGAATCTAGGCGATGCCTCAAAAAAGTTCTTAGTAGTTGGAATTTTTTTTCCAAAATTAGCATAATGATTCAAATTATCATGCAGGCGCGTCCCGAAATAATGCACCAGGGCTTGAAATAACGTGCCCCTGTGCATTATTACGTGTTTATACGTACTGCAAAGGCAATAACCTGGGACCTGTGCTTCTGCTGTGTTTTATCATAGACTTCCATATAAGTTGTGTGACTATTAATCACTAGCCAGCTTTATGTTTGTACCACTAGGGTGTTTGCTTCCATGCTTTTTAGAATTTTATTTAACCAGTTTTACTTGTTTCTTTTATTGCACCAGAGGTGTTCTATATTTGGTAAAGCCATTTTTTTACCACAGCCTCTTACTATGTCCATTGCTTCTCTTACTACTTCTGGATATATTGCATACAGCTATCCTTCTAATCAAGATCCCAATGCTGCCTTAGGGTTGTTGGTGCTATTTTGCCTATCATGAATTTACACGCACAGCCTTCTGCAGTATTACCTTCTATGATCCATGTCACATGCAGTGCCCAATCTTCTTCATGGCTCAGGACTCCTTTCAAGAATTCTTTATCAGCCAAATATGTACTTTACATAGTCTTACCACCACAGGGTTTCACATTCAAAAGCCCCCAAAAGTTACAGAGATAATTAATTTAATTAATTACCACCAGCTATAATTGAACTGTCAACCTCGTCTGTGGAGAGTTAAGCACCTAAACCACTAGACTACAGGACCCTAGCCCTAAAATTTTTTTTAATTTGGTTATCCAAATTTTAAATGTAATTTTTCTAAAACTTATTAATTTTATCTACTTTTAATAATATAATATTAAAAGTTTTTATTCACTCTTAAATATAAATTTTTGACCAATATTCGCTTTTCAAATATAATATTTTTGTAAATAAGTAACCTTTTAACCAAAATTTCAATGTAACTCTCTATATATATTGTTCGGAATCTTAGCCTATATATCTTTTAATTGTATAGAGAATTTGAATTTAAATAAAAATTTATCTAATACCTAAATTAAAGTTAGGTTCTAGGTGAATGACTAGTGATTTATAGCTATTGATATATTTTTATATAGTAAAGCAAAAAATATATATCAAAAGTCAAAATGTTACTCTAGAAAGTTGAAAGCATTAAATACTAAAGTATTTTGATATCACCATGCCCAAACTTGAAATTTCTAGTGATAGATTATTATGTTATAAAAATTATTATCCAATCAGAATCATGATTTTGTAATCAATACAAAGTTCATATTGTTATGTAAACCTACTTGATACACTACATTTCTGTCTAATATATTGGATATTCTATGATAGAATTGATATAACTAGATGACTTGTATTATAAATATTAGAAATCAAATTTTAAATAATAGACTAAACTATAGTTTTATATAATTTAAATAATCTCGCCCTCTTAGAGTTCTGATCTGATCTGTATATAGGATAAGTTCCAAACCTAATTTTTACATGTAGTGATTTGGAATTTTTAACTATAATATTAGTTATATGTCAAAAATGTTTAACATTATGACAAATTAGGGGCATTTTGCGAAATCTAGTAAATACTATTTGGGTGATAGGTTTCATGCATGCATATGATTCTTTAATCGTGTGTATTAATATGCATTTATACGTACATTTCAGAATAATACGATTTTATTACATCTAAATTTTATATACCGTATTTTCATAAAATAACAGGCCGGGTGTTATTTAGAGTAATGGCCCAAATTAAGCTTAATTTAGGCCAAGATTTCCAAAATTTGAAATTACACCCCGGTGTATTATTTTGCAAAAATACAGTAGTAACATTAAAGTATATATAATTTAGACCAGAGGCGTATTGTTGGGTGAAATTAAGGAATATGAATGCAAACATCTTGTAAATTTCTGAAAAGAAAATGAATAAATATAAAAAATAAACAAGATCTGGGTAAAAATTTGATTACATCCAATATTTTTCAAAGATAAAATAAAAATCCAAAAATTATATCATGCAATATCATGTACATTTTATATAATGTGTGCATTAATGCGTATTTATGCGCATGTTATTATAAAATGCATATTTTCCTATCACTAGTCATGATACTGATTTGTCGATGCTGATGGGCATAAAACCAGATTTAATATGAAAGACCATACTACACATCACCATAACCACTTTTTGTGATAGGGCCACTCTACCAGTAATTAATTTTTTTTTTCTATTTTTTAAATGTTCATTTTAAAAAAATAATAAAAAATAAAAAATCTATATATTTTCATTCTAAGCTATTATCTCCTTAACTTGTCCAACCTTTGTTGGTTAGTAAGATATTTCATTTATTTGATTAACTAACATAATCCTAAAAAATTTTGATCTGTATATGGTGCAGTTCTTTTATACAGTATTTGTTCTGCATCATGTTTGAAAGGGGTATCAGATTGAAATGTATATCATGAATATAATAGCAAGACAAAACAGACAAAACAATAAACATTATATTGTTTGCATTCTTTTCAATTTAACAATTATAAAGATTAGTTCTTATACCGAAAGTCTATCACCAAAAGCAAAATCAATACAATAGCAAAATTTTTTAATTAATAAATATCATATTATACCACATTAGCACATGTTTCTATTTTCATCATTGAGTTAAAGATTAATATAAAGATTATTTTAAGTAACATATTACAGGAAACGTTGAACATCACAAAATTTGTACACAATTTATAAAAAATTTTTTATATTATTTTACAATACTTTTTTGGAAGGCTTGTTTGACTTATCTTTTCTATAAATATTAAAAATAACTAAACAAACATGAAGCTCTCACTTTGCTTTACAACATATTTTTTGAATCCCTTTGAATCTCATGGGTTCGTCTTTTTGTAAATTTTGCAATTTGATTGGTTAACAAATCCCGTAGTGATATTTTGACTGGTCGATACAATGAGTGATCTGTGTAACAAAGAATGAAAAACATATCTATAATTGGATGTTTCCTCCTGTTGTAACATATTGTATAATTAATATTGTACATGTGAATTATGTGAATTGGATATATTATTGAAAAGAATAATTGGCTAAAACTCGCCTTCTTTCAGTTGTCAGTAGGTCAACAGATAGAAAAGACTGCTAAGCAGTGATGCATTAGCAAGCGACAATCACATGGGTGATCCGGCTCTAACAAGAGAATCCGGTATATGCAAGTGGGAAGATAAGTATAAATTTAATGAAATTACTTTAGGAGCTTATTGCGCGAATACTAATATATACAAATTTAGCAGGGAACGTATGACAATAACATTCATATATAAAACAGAAGAGCGACAGGGTAGCACGACAGCAGCCCCTTCAAGAGGCAAATCAATTTCACACCCTGCCCTACCCTCCTCAGTAGAATCCTGCCATTTTGTGGCAGCTTAAACATCTCTTTACAGCCGTCCTGCATTTATGCGGGTGGGAAACCACCGGCTAATTCCAATTATACATCAAATGCACTGATGTATGCTATATATCTCTTTCAATTATACATCAAACGTACTGATGTATGATGTATACTATAACTCTCTAATAAAATTCGAACACCCAGCACTATTAGCGCTAGAATGCATCACAATTATGCGTAAATTTATAGTATCAGATGCATTGATTCTGTTCTTCCGTTCCTGGTGTTGCGCGACGACGTTGCACAGCTATCAAGTATTTTTTAAATATCAAATCTAACCCTAAACATCCTAAACTCTAAAAAAAGCGGAAAAAACACTCCAAATTTTTTTAAAATTTCATATAAAAATAGGTCCAAGCTTCAGCATCAGCCGCGCCAATAAATAATAGATAAAATTTTTAATTTACTTCTTTTAAAAAGGCGAATGAGTCTCAAAAACTAGGTAATATTTATCATATATCATCTAACCATGTCGCCAAAATATTGAATTCAACTTACTTTTACTAATCATTTGAATGTCATATAATTTATAAAAAGGAATCCATTCAATCACATCCTCATATTTAGTGGCTTTAAGTTGAATTTGTTTAATGAAATTATCAACTTTTTCATTTCCACTTATCCAACCTTGAGATGTTCTTTGTAGTGGTTTGACCCGTTCGACCCAGGTGACCCGTTGGACTGATCCGGGTAAACTGACGGATATTCCCAGTCAATCGCTGATGTTTGTTTTACTTTGATAAAATTCAAAGGAAGAAATTCGTCTGACTGGATAATTTTTGTAGGTCTACCCGTGATCACCCGTGATAATTAACCAATCAGATTACATAATTTTAAAAATCCGTCGCTTTAATAACATACTAAAAAATGAAGCACAATTCTATATAAAAAAAAAAGCACAATATAATAAATATACACAAAATATTTTATTACATAGAGAATAGAAAGATATGCGTAAAGTAGATAAATACGATATTTATTATTAATAAACTCGAGTTTCTCAGAAAATTTTCACAATACCGGTACATAACCTAAATTTACAGTTAACCAAACCTAGCACATTGCAATAAACACGGATCTCTTGCTATTAAAAGCTTGCACTTATTCAAACTAAACAGTTAGTAATAAAAGTTTATTTGAATCTAACATAATAAACGGCTTAAGCAAAAAAATATCTCCAATTACCTTACTCTACAATAGCTTTGTACGGTCCAATAGGCGGCAGTATATTTTGTCTTCTAAGCAAAGTTCACCGGGAGCCCGATCTTTTTTGATTCTTTTGCGCAGTGAACGTTAGTACTTCGCTGAAGTTATTAATGATATTTGGAGTGATTTTTTATTAGTGAAACGTTCAGTTCTAAAAAAGTACTGTATAACATATAAATAAGTTACCCGGGCAATTGATTTACATCAGCTAATCAGACAAACTTCTTCATTTAAGGGTAAAATAGGATGCGTTAAACTTTAACAATCATATTTTACCCGATGTAAACACGATTGGCTAGGAATACCCGTAAGTCTACCCGGATCAGCCCGACGGGTCACCCGGGTTGAACGGGTCACAGTATTATAACTATTGCAAATTCTACATTTTCCTTTCCAATTAAACCTTTTAAATAAAATTCATCATGTTTGCCACTCCTAAAATATTTTTGATCAGTTTTTAGGATTTAACATGACTCTAGATTACTTGTTAAAATTTATTTTAAATGCTACAGTAAAACCTCTATAAATGCACGCTCTTGAGACTGAATTTTAACAATGTGTATTTAGAAAACAATAAGAAAAAGTGAATTTATAGAGATCCCGCATATACTTGGCCAGAAGTTGGGTGTGAATTTAGTGAGGGTGTGCATTTATAGAGGGTGCATTTATAGAGGTTTCACTGTACGTAAAGTTTGAAAACTCATACAGTCAAACATCTATAAATGCACGCCCGCCCTCTCTAAATACACGCCCAACCTCTGGCCCAAGTATATGCGTGGCCTCAATAAATGCACCTTTTCTTGTTTTCTAACGCACATTGTTAAAATTCAGTCCAAAGGACGTGCATTTATGGAGGTTTTACTGTATAACTAAAAGCCTACATTATATCCACAAAGTTTTTGATTTTAGGTGTAATATGTGCATAATAATAAATTTGTTTTCCGAGCAAAATTAACATCGAATCTTTATACGATAAATGTTAATGATTTTTCCTAGTGAAATTTTATGTTATTACAAAGTATTTAGGCAGTTGTTGATCCACCGCTAACTTCCGGAGTATTTCTCCATTCTCCGGATTATTTTTACTGTAAGTAGAATAAGAGGTATAGTTTCAGAATTTAAATGTTGTATTCTTTGACAATTCGTTTTCATGGCTGCCAATTCGTTTAAAGTCAAATTAAATGCGGTGTAATATATGACGATACATTTAGTGATTGACCAATCGGAATTAAAGCCCGCTATACTGCATAAATTGCATTTTTGATATATATATATATGAGTGCCGCCAAGGGAAAACTTTCCATCGGACTTTCAGTTATATTTTGTGTACAGTTAGCCGTCTATGGAAAACCTATTATAATAATAGATTTCCACAGATGGTTACCTGTACACAAAATATAATTGAAAGTCCGATGACAGATTTTTCCTTGGCGGCACTCATATGATCCTCCTCACTGCATCAAAAAGATAACCTTACCTAGGGATGGCAAAAAAAAAAACGGTGTAAACAGTTTTTAATACATTTTTTATTGTTTTAAAAAATTTTTAAAACATTGGCGTCTCTCCGATTGGTTAATTTCAGTTTCAGCATAACATGCATGTATTCTATCGTTACATACATGTAAAAAAATAAATAGTGAAAGAAAAAGAATTTTGTAATTACATTCTGCATCCAATTTATCCAATGTTTAGGCTTGAAGAAACACAAATATGGAAAGTAATGCCTAAATCAACTTTGGAAACAATAACAAAGAAAGATTGAATGCCATTTACGCTAGAATGTACGTATACTAAAATCTTGCTTGCATTTAGCGTCACGTTTTTTATTTGTACCATGTTATCCTGTTGTTCGAAGAATTTACAATAATTTACTGCCAAAATCACGTATCATATAAAAATTTACTATTATTGATTTTTACTAATTCTTCTGTGCGTCAATTAATTCTTTTCAAATTTAGATAGTTATACAGTTTATTAAACGTGAACAAGTTTTAAATTACCATTTAAAAAGGTCTGATTTAGTTTCTTTTTGAGAAATAGTCGGCCTTTCCATTTGGCACTGAGGTGCTGAATTATGATTGGCTAGATCAGGTGTAACATAAAAGAGAAACAATCAAAACAATAGGTAGTCGATGCTTATTGGCTAGATCAATTTAGTCCTTCGGACTGTAAATAATTAGTTAATACCATTCGTCTGTCCAATGTTCATTACGCATTCGTGCCAAATGGAAGGGGGGTCACCTATAATAGACTTACTCCAAATTTTCAATTAGTTCAAATTTATTAGAAAGCGAAGTAAGAATTGGTACTGAAAAAAATTTCATCAATTAGATTCTCACATTTTAATTCTGAAATTTCTATTAGTATGGTAATTTGATTTGCTCTTCCTTACCATGCTTACTTTTCGAAATTGCATGTATGAAGATTTTTATTATTAAATACAATGGCTAAGAGATTTTTATCGCTACTACAGCATAAAAATTTTTAAGCATGCTTAGAATGATGCCAAAAATTTCAAAAATGAGAAATTTCTTAAATAATTTGTATTTTTTATGATAAAGTTTGGATTAAATATAATCTTATCAAAACTATATATATATATATATGTGTTTTTTTTTCTTTTTCTTTTTTCTTTTTTTTTCGATTTAAATTTTAACTTATAAAAAGAACCAAAATTTTTAAGGGTTTAACATTGAATGATACTAAACTTTGAATTTTGATCAAATTTTTAGCATATTTTTCATAAATTCGCTGTGAAGCGATTAAAAGTTTTTGCGACTTAGACCTAATACTATATAAAACAATCGTTATGATTAGACCACCCGCCCATAAAATGTAAAAGGAAAAAATGTGCCTATAAATAAAGATAAAACGTACAAATGTGTACTGCAAAAATTTATAGGCTAATCTTGCGTTTTTTAAGTTCTTCTAGTGCTTTAGGTTGGCCCTTCACAGCAGCCATTTTTAAATACCGTATTCCTTTGTCTTCATCTTTTTTAATACCAAGTTTTCCATTCAAAAATAAATCACCATAATTAAATAATGCGGAAGGATTGCCATTAATAACAGCTTTATTCAAGTAAGTCAGAAACTCTTTAACGTTATTAGCTTCCAACATTGCAAAAGCATAATGAAGTTGAGCATCTGGAACGTTTTCATCAGCAGCTTCCTTAAAAAGTTTTACAGCTTCTACAGGATCTTTCACACCTCTATGATAACCTTCTTTTAAATAATAACCTTTCCAATACTTGGCAACAGGATCACCAAGTTCAGCATGAATTACAAAGCATTCCCAAGCTTTTTCTCTTTTTGACTTATCCCTGTGCGCCCTAAGACCATCTTCTAACGGAGGAATAAGGTGAGGGATATCATCACTCACGAATGGACCACCTTCATCATCAGTTACATCGTCACTAGGATTAGAATCCTCTACAGAATTTATTAATCCATTTAATTTTTTAAGTTCAAAGTTAAATACATTAATACTTGGTCGTTCAGCTGGTTCATGAGCCCAAGCTAGTATAATTGAAATAATGTTAGTTAATAAATATTTTTAATATAGAAACATATAGAAATTAGAAAATTTAATTATTTACCAGCCACAATTATCTTAGAATATCCGTTGATAACTTCTTTAATTCCAGCATATTTGCCAATGAAATTAAAGCGTTCTCTTTTACCGGACTTGACATGCTCACATATGTCCATTGTGTCCATAGTTTTATATGGTATCTGTTGGAAAGCGAGCTCCCATAATAGCATACCATAACTATTAAAGATAAATGATGATAAATGATGATTAAGTAAATAGTATAACCTATATAGCCTGTATAATCTGTATAATGGCATAAAACATGAAACCAAAGTGATGCTTACCTAAATACTTCGCATTTAAATGTATAGGGATTTTCTTTTTTATTACTCGCATTATTACTCGTACTCGGATCAGAACCCATTTTTTCAGGTGCCAACCAAGGAATTATTTCACTAATGCTTACAATTTTAATACTATTTTCATTTCTTTGTCGGCTAAGATCAAAATTTGCAAGTTTCGCATTGTAACCATCATTATCTGTAATCTATAGTTGAATTAGGAAATTTTATGAATAATTAAATAAAATAACAAAATTTTTCTTTATCAAGTTTTAATTTATAGCATACCATTACGTTTTCACATCGTACATCATGGTGAAAAATATCACAACCTTGCAAAAAGACAAGACCGCAGCAAATGTCATGAGCAATTTTAATTTTATATTTCCAAGAAATATCTGTATCCTCATAGAGTTCTCTTAAATTCCCATATTTAGCCCATTCAAATACGATAAGATATTCACCATTATCATATTTTGAAAAACCATAAAATTTAATTATTTTATCAGATTGTTGTAATCTACTTAAAATTGCAAAACGATTTTTAGTCATTTTCCATTTTTCATCATCATTTGGAATAGTTATACGTTTACAAGCAACTTCAATTCCATTATATAAACGTTTAAAAATTTTTCTTTCTATTGATGATGTATTTCGTTCAATAACCTCATCTAAACAATTTATATCAATATGTGGAGCACCTAAAGAAATTTCCCTTTTATAAACTTTTTTTTTAATTTCAATAACTTCTTCAAAAATTGCATTAAGTTTTATCTTAATTTCATCAGTATGCTCCATAACTGTTCCAACGCCAGTATTTAAGTTATAAAGAATTTCATTATTTTCTTTAAGCTGATTATTCGCATCTGTAACGCCACCTTCGATTGTTTTAAGAAACTACGTATTATATGACATATAAATTTGATTGTTATTTTCATAAATTTCATACACACTATATTCGCACATTATACACACCTCAGTCATTTTAACCACATCTTCAGATAAACTTTTTTCTTCAAGCTTTTTATCTTCCATTGATACAATAATACCAAATTGTAAATCACGACAAGTAGTTTCTAATTCCTCTATTAGAGTAAGACATTTTGCTTTTATATCTTTAGCATAAAGAAATTTTGAAAGACCTTTAAGTTGTGAAACGTTATTAATAAATTCTTTAATATTTTTTAAAACTTTATGAAGTTTTATAAATGTTTTTAAGTAATCACAATTATGAAATTTTTCTTTCTCTTCATCTCTTCTACGACTTAATTTTCTAACAGCTGTAGCAATATTTTCTACACGATCAACTAGAACACGACATGTTCTTTTATTATATTCAGCTGCTTCATAAACACTTAAAATTTCTTCGACTACTCTATTAACCGAATCGAACCAAGGAAGAAAGGCTGCGAATGCACTAATGGCATTTGCTGCTTGGTTTGCAGCCGCTCCAGCCCCACCAACGTCAGTCTCATCTGACATAATAATAAAAAAAATTTAAAGACTTTCCAAAATTGTATTTGTAAATATGTTTGAAAAAAAATTTTTTTTCAAGTTTGTGGAGAAAGTTACTGGTGAACCGGTTAAATACTTTTTTTGACCGGATATGCATATATGCACGGTAGTGTAATTGTACAGTACTTTGTCACATGGCATACATTAAACGAGAATAAAATTAGGGTGATCTACATAAATGTCATTTATTTGTATGACAATAGTTGCATTTTTTCTATGCTTCAATTCCGAACTAAGCCAGCCTTTGTCCTCATACAGTATACTTGCATATTGTGTTTTTTCCTTTCTATGAAGAAATGTCTTCAAAGAGGGTGATTACGATCGGTATAGGGTAAACTTTTTTTTTATGAAAGTGAATTGGTTAGATTGTTTATCAATAACATATAATTTATCTAAAATTAATTATAATACTGTAGCGGTGCATCATGTTCTGGTAAAACGGTACGTATGTAAAATTACATCAATAAATTTAAGTCTAGAACGAGAAAGTTTAAATTGATTTGACTACTTGCGTGATTTTTGTCATTTTATTTTATATAAAGACTTTGGCTAAATGGCTTTTAAAAATTTTACCGAATTGTACATTATTTTATCAAGACGATTTTTTTAAGGTGATTGTTTTCATTCTATTTTATATTTTAATTCGGTTTTCATTTCAATTTAATTTATTTTAATTCGATTTTCATTTCAATTTAATTTATGTTTAATTTGTTTTAATATATTTTTATTTTATTTCCGTAATAGCTCGAAAAAGATCTTCCAATTGATCCAATAACAAATTACACAGATTGGGATTGCCCTGACGCAATAAATTTTCCATTATTTTTATCTAATCTAAAAAATATTCATCAAGACGGCACATTGCCAACAACATTCGTATCTAATGAAGTAAATAATATTTTTAAAGATATTGAAAGAGATGAATTAAATGAGCTGGTTAAACGACTATCCTTGCGAATTAATGAAGTATTAAGTGCATCAGTAGGGCGTGATAATAAAAATGTTGAATGGTATTTCGTATTGGTAGATGGATTTTTACTTTACTATGACCCTGAAGTTATAAACGAATTAGATGTTAAATTTTTTGTCAAGGCTGATCGTGAAATTATGAAGAAACGAAGAGAAGAACGGATTTCTTATGTTACAGTTGAAGGTATTCATTTATATTCTTTACTCATCTATTATGATTTTTTTCTCGTATTATAATTTTGTAATACTGTCTTTAACCTATTTCCTTTAAACAAGGATATTACGAAGACCCGCCAGAATATTTTGATAAAATAGTTTGGCCGAATTATATTAAATTTCACAAGCATTTATCCCTTAAAGGACAATCATTCAGTTTGATAAATGGTGAAAAAAGTGAATTGAAGGTCATTGAAGATATGGTGGCTTTTGACTCGAACCATGATAAAATTTTTGGTGAGAATCTTGAAAAAGCTGTTGAAACTGTGATAAAATTTATCGAAAAAAAGTGGTGAACTTGTATACATGAAAATTTATTGAAATAATATATGAATCGTTAGAGAAATACAACATATCAATCTTTTAAATGTCAAGCTTTAATAAATCTCGCAAAATATATTTTTTTTAGTCGTTTTTGATATTTTTGAATAATCTACAAATTATTTAAGATTTTTTTATTGTAAAAGATACTAACGAATTAGAAATCTTTTATCAAATAAAAAAAGAGACGAAAAGAAAATTGTATTGTCAATATTGTTTAATAAGTAGTTACTCAATACCACTTCTCGTGTCTAATAGTTAGCATTTTTCTTCGGAGATTAACAGTTTTCCAACTGAACCAGTTCTAGTGTGTATTCGTCGCTTGCGCTGAAAATTTTAAATACAGCATAGTTTTATTATATAACACCTTTATATTTATTAAACTGCATATTTAATCATAAATATTTACCGTACATAAAATGTTGTTGTCGTTGACGGTGCAGTTACTTATATGAGTGTCGCCAAATGAAAATCAGCAATTCTAAAAAACAATTTATTTTTAGAATTGCAAGTTATCATTTGACTTCATACGTATCGTCTACTGAATCATTACTTAGTTCGTTACGTAATTTTTTTTATTGCTTTAATTTTAACGAAATATCTTATACAATTCAGAAGTGAGCTTAAAAGGCCATGAAAAGGTTTACATGAGATAAATGACAAAGTTTACCATATAAATAATAGTTAACGTTGAGCGCGTTTATATACGGATAAAAATACCAGCTTTGACGCATCTAACCATTTTTGGTATATATTATAATGTTTAATTTGTCTAGTTTAATTTTATTCTAAGTCAAATGATTTCAAATGAAAAAAATTACGAGATATTTTTATTTACGAAATTTCATTTAAATCTGCAGATGCTTCATTATTATTATTGTAATGAGAATATACTATCTTTGAAAACTAATTTTCCTCATTTGCCTTTAGCTAATTTTTTTTTAAATGTAGAAGTACTATTCTTCACCACTAATATCAATTTTTATGTCGTTCCTAAAAATGTATTTAAACCTATAAATGGACAATAAGCTGTTCTAATTCATCTAACGTAAATATATCATTTGGTTTAATTTCTAGCGATTTATTCAAACCATTAAGTGATTTCTCATATTGGCCCATCATTCGATAAATTGCTCCACGATTACTTAGCGTAAAGGCATTATTCGGTTCAATTTCTAAAAGTTTATTTAAATCTGCAAGAGATTCTTTATTTCTACACATAATGCGGTGAATTGTTCCTCGAACTTTTAATGCAAACGCATCATTAGGTTCTATTTTTAATGACTTATTTAAATTTTCAAGTAAACATTCATATGCATAATTTTGCAACACACGCGCCTTATTTTGAAAAATTTCTATCAATTTATTTAAATCCACAAGAGATTCCTCATATCTATTAATCATGTTATACGTTGCACCACGAGAATTTAATATATCTGTATCATTTGGATTAATTTATAATGACTTATTTAAATCTGCAAGTGATTCTTCATATCTTTTTAATTGACGATAAGTTTCTCCACGATTACTTAATGCAAATGCATCATTTGGTTCAATCTCTAACGACTTATTTAAATCTGCAAGTGATTCTTCATATCTACTCATCATTCGATAAGTTACTCCACGATTTTTTAATGAAAATGTATCATTTGGTTCAATCTCTAACGACTTATTTAAATCTGCAAGTGATTCATCATATCTTTTTAATTGACGATAAGTTACTCCACGATTATTTAATGCAAATGCATCATTTGGTTCAATCTCTAACGACTTATTTATCGCTGTTTGCAAATTGATGTGACTTTTGATAAAAATTAGTAGATCAATATCCGATTGCAATCGATTTTACG